CAGTTGCGAGGCTCTGGCCGGGTCCGGCCCCATGCGGAGCTCGTAGCGCAGCTCCAGACACTGACGCAAGCGCTGGAAGAGCTGCTCCACAAAGTTCATGTGGTCGGTGGACTTGTACGGCTTGGAGCAGCCGTAGACAATCAATTTCCTGAGGGATCGCATCACAATGTAAGCCCGCTGCAGGGCACTGAGGGCCTGCGCCTCCTCGCCGCTGCTCTTCACCTGCTGCAGAAAGCGTCCGGTCAGCGTCGCCCAGACGTCCCAAGCTAGGTAGCTGAAAATCTGGCTGCCCAGCTCCTCGAAGGCCCGCTGCTCGGCCATGAGGCGGCGAGAGGCCAGGGCTTTGATGACGTAGTGTAGGACTAGGAGAATTCTCTGCTGCAGTGCTGCGTCGGTCTCGCTGCTGCATGCTTGGAGCTGCTTCATCAGCGTCGGCAGCAGGTCGGGCCAGAAGCGAGGGTAGTCGGTGCGAGCTAGGCGCCCGAGCAGCACGGCCACCTGCAGTGCCACCTGGGGCACTTCCTCTGCGTCGTAGTGCTGCAGGAGCACGTCTCGTATCTGCTGCTTCTGCTCTGCGGGCAGCTCCTGCCGCGAATTGGGCCTCCAGTAGCGCTCGATGCCGTTCTTCAAATAAACGGCCGCCATCCAGCGGACCTTTAGTGCAACCTCCGCGTCGGCCGCAGAGCCCTGACCGCTTCCCGGCATTCTCATACTCAGCCTAGCTATCGTGGGAAAGAAGCCCGGCTGCTGCTCCCATTCGCTCAGTTGGGCTTCGGCCTTTTGCACAATTTCGTGGCTGGGGTTTGTGGCCGCCTGCAGGGTCTGGGCTACCAGCTGCTCAACCGCAGTAGTCGCCGTTGCTGTTCCCGTTGCCATTGCCATCTTCTTCCACCCCACTTTCAACGTTAATTCGATGAAATGGCTGATGCAAAAATTATTGGCAAAATTGTACGGCGCGTGCTGCTTCTTGCTTCTGTGACAGCGGACTTATCGATAAGACCGATATCGATATACCGCCTGAACCTCAAAAATATACCTAAAAATACATTAGTTCTTAAAATATATCGCAGAAATACCGAATGGTAAATAATTTGTTTCTTTCTTGAATATTGACATCGGTGCAGTCCATTGAAACTTGTGATGAGAGATATAATATTGTATAGCTGTATCGATGGAAAATTTCATATTCTCTGGTCCCACTTAATATTATATGAATACCAACTTCTGCCAGATGGCTCTGCACTAATGACATCCCTGTGTACTCGCAACATGTAGCAACCCTGTAGAGAGGAAGAAGCAGATGGGTCATGTGATAGACACCAAGCAGCTGACCGAGAGAAAATAAAAGTTTTTTCTTCAACTTGCAACTCCAAAACTAAAGTTAACTAGCAAACAACATGGCTCTGCACTCTGCAATCAAGGGTAAACTGATCTCTGTCATCGGCGATGAGGACACCTGCGTGGGGTTCCTGCTGGGGGGCGTGGGCGAGATAAACAAAAATCGCCACCCCAATTTCATGGTCGTGGACAAGAACACTCCCGTGAGCGAGCTGGAGGACTGCTTCAAGCGGTTCCTGAAGCGCGACGATATCGACATCATCTTGATTAACCAGAACTGCGCCGAGCTAATTCGCCATGTCATCGATGCCCACACTTCGCCAGTGCCAGCCGTCTTGGAGATTCCATCGAAGGACCACCCCTACGACGCCAGCAAGGACTCGATTTTGAGGCGTGCCCGTGGCATGTTCAACCCCGAGGATCTGGTGCGCTAAGCAGCACTTTGGCATTGTTTGCAACCATAGGAGTATTGCAGTTACAGCCACCAATCTAATCCCCTACATTTCGTTTAATTAGCTTTGAGATGTGTATTAAAGACAAGTGTTAAAGTGGTTTTTGTTTTCAAATAAAAAATAAATATGTATGTATGTATATATGTGTGAAAAATCATTATCATCAAGAAATTATGGTGAAGGCGCCTGCTGCCCCGTTTAAACAGTCCTCAAAACAGAGCTGCACCTGTCTGCGCCACCTAACGGGCTGTCGGCGTACTATGCGCCATCAGCTGACCGAGAAGAGACTTTTTTCTGCTGCAACGTAAACACAAATAGATATAGGAATCATTATCAATTGGTGGACTTATTAGTCACAAGCAAGCTGCCCACCCATCCCACAACGCACACCATGCTCAAGGCGGTAATTCTTATTGGCGGACCCCAGAAGGGCACGCGATTCCGGCCACTCTCGCTCGACACACCCAAGCCGTTGTTTCCACTGGCCGGTCGACCCCTGATAGCCCATCACATTGAGGCTTGCGTTCAGCTGCCGGAGCTCAAGGAGATCCTCATCGTCGGCTACTACCCGCAGACGCAGATGGAGGCTTTTGTGGGGGACATGCAGGCCTTGTACAGCAGCAGCAACATCAACATCAGGTGAGCGACAGCCGCAGAAAGTTGTGATGGAGAGAGGACGAATGACGTGTCCATTTGGCAGGTACCTGCAGGAGTTCACATCGCTGGGAACGGCGGGTGGCATGTACCACTTTCGCGATCAGATACGGGCCGGTAATCCTAGGGCCTTTTTCGTGCTGAATGGTGACGTGTGTGCCGATTTTCCGCTGCAGGAACTGTACGACTTCCACACCCGGCGTCCCTCCAGCGCCCTGGTTACCATCATGAGCACGGAGGCGACCCGGCAGCAGTCCCTGCACTACGGCTGCCTCGTTTTTGACCGCGCCAGCGGAGCCGTCTCACACTACGTGGAGAAGCCAAGCTCGTACGTGTCGACGTTCATCAACTGCGGCGTCTACGTATGTTCCATGGACATTTTCACCCAGCTGGCGCAAATCTTCCATGCCCATGGACTGGAGTACGGCTGCGCGGGCTTCAGCAATGGAAACGGCAACGGAAACGGCCGAGATCAGGGCCACATCAAGTGGGAGCAGGAGGTGCTGACTCCCCTGGCGGGCACCAACCAGCTCTTTGCCATGCCCGTGCCAAACTGGTGGTCCCAACTGAAGACCGCCGGCTCGGCCATCTACGCCAATCGCCACTACCTAGGTCTCTATAAGCGCACGCATCCAGAACGGCTGGCCAACGTGGGCTCGAAGCGCGGCGAGGGCGACGGCAACCTGATCTGCACTGTCCTGCCGGATGTCTACGTGCATCCCAGTGCCACGGTCCACCACAGCGCAGTGGTTTGTAGCAGTTGATCTCAGTGTAACGATCCCCCTCTTCACATTCTCGTTATTCTTTATTACCTGCAGCTGGGGCCGAATGTGGCCATTGGTCCGGGAGTCACCATCGGCCCTGGAGTGCGTATCAAGGAGTCCATCGTGCTTGAGCAAGCCCAAATTCACGACCACACGCTCATCCTCCACTCTATTGTGGGGCGGGGCTCTACCATCGGAGCCTGGGCCCGCGTTGAGGGCACGCCCAGCGACCCGGACCCCAACAAGCCCTTTGCAAAGATGGAGAATCCGCCGTTGTTCAACAACGAGGGCAAGCTAAATCCCTCCATAACGATATTGGGTAAGTGGGAGAGTGCTCTGAAATGTGGACTGTGGCCTTCTGACCAAATCTCACTTCCCATTTTAGGCTGCTTCGTACAGGTGCCCGCCGAGAAGATACTGCTCAACAGCATTGTCCTGCCGCACAAGGAGCTGAGTCGCAGTTTCAAGAATGAGATAATTCTGTGAAAATAACCAATTTCCCCTTGGAGAGCCGTTCCTTTCCGTAGCCCCCATCAGTATGCCATTTTATACACATAAATATTTATATTGTGCAATATTCTTAATCTTTAATGCATTAAAAGCTTGTCACGCAGCAGCACGAACTTTTAGCCTGACACACGGAATCTGCAATTCCGCGGTTGCTGGTTCATTTTAAGTTTTAGATCGATACTTATCGTAACTTTCAGTAGTGTCACGCGGCCACCTCCAATGCACGGGTAAGCGACCCACGCACACACACATGCACTCTCTCGCTCTCTCTCACTCTCTGTATCTACAGTCGCTCTCTGCCTACCGTTTAGACCAAAACGCGTTTGGATTCCTCAAGTGTTAGCCATTAGGTCGCCGTCGCCGTCGTCGCTTGTTGCTTGCTGCAGCAGCTCTTCCAACGACACAAAGAGTCAAATAAATAAGTAGTCGATACATATTCGAATATAGAAAAGAGTTAACCGTTGGCCAAAAGTGAATCTCAAACCGCCAACTGCCGCTGATAATGTATCTAAGCCTCCAGCGCTGCCCCCGAAAGACAAACAGGTATGTACGTAGGCAGTTTTGTTGGTAGTTGAGCAAGCGAAGAGGAAGAACGACGGTGCACAAACACATTGTGAAAGTACAGGTGTATGCGTGTACGCTTGCTGCTGTTCGTATGTATTAGTGGAGCTGAGCAGTCGGCGCAGGTAACTTCTCGAGNGCGCGCGGGTGAGGGGGGCGTTGACGCGACGTCGTGTGGGGGGATGGGGGGGGGGGGGGGGGGCGCGGCGGGGGGGGGGGGGGGGGGGGGGGGTGGGGGTGAGGTAGTAGTAGAGGAGTAGTAGCAATCACAGTTCAAAGCTTCGGCCAGGCCAAAAAAACGTTCTCGAAATGCAGTTCTATCCGAGCATTGTCTACTCTCCGGTACCTCTGCGGAGTTTGTTTACGGGCCAACAATCAACTCCAAGTACGCACATATGTGTACATACATATGCCTATTGGCAAACACTCGGAGAACGCAGTCGGGTTTTACACGGACTGTGTGTGCGTGCTGGAATCTGGCTTGGCATGCCACCACCACCAACTCTCCCTACACCTGAGTCAAACGCGCAACCTCTCGTGAGCGTACGCTCTCTCTCCAGTAGGTTCGTGGTTACCTGAAGGGGATCGGTTTTTGTCCTCTCTCGGTGGTTTTCGCTCTCTCGGATATGTTAGTGGCCACGTATATATGTACATATACCATATATATTCTGGTTTAGGAAAAGAGCGCGAATTACCGTTTGAATTTTCGTCGAGGCAGGTTCGTAGCGGGCGCTTCTTCGTCCGTCGCTCGTTTATTACAAATCGAAGAAACGCTGAGATTCTTAAATATTCTATGGTTTTCAGCCGAATTATTATAAATTATATCTGAATATTCTGTGCTGTCTATCGCTTGGATCACAGCGGACGCGACGGTTGCCTGAGTCGGAGTGCTGGACACACATGCACGCAGGCACACATTGAGACTCACTCACACACCTCTCCCGCTTCGGCCAAAAACTAGAAAAAAGACAACAGCTAAAAGTGGTAGTAACAGGCAAGAAGAAGAAGCAGCAGTAGTGGAGGCAAAAAGTGACTTGTTTTTTGTTTGCTTGTATACGCCGACGTTGGCGTCAACGCTCCGTACCATTACCGCTCTGTATCCCCTTTGTCTAATTGTTGGTATTAAGATCGCGGTCTAAGCAAGTGTACTAGTCTCTAGTTAAAGCTACTAGACGCCAGTGCAGTGAAGGCATTGGCTGTTAACAATATATCAAAATACGAAACAAACAGCTATACACACAGTTTTATATGTGTGAGCGTGTTGACGAGAAAAGAAAGTGCAATAAAAACCAAAAAATATAAAAAAGGCAATAAGTGCAATATGTATACACCGTGTTGAAAAGAAATAAGCAAAGAAATCACAGTTAGGTCGCCGCGCTTCGAGAGAGAGAGAAAGAGAGAGAACCCGCTGTCACAGAGGGAGGACTTCTAAGAGAGAGAGCAAAATAAGATATCATTTACACACCGACCTGCTGCATCAAGAAATCCGATTGAGAAGAGTTTCTGCTGCCATAGGTGAGAAATTTACCGAGCATAATCACAAAAGAGTGAATGAACAGAGACAACGGCCCGCGCAAAGGTGGATGTTCAAACAAAGTGAAAACATATTTACAGTTAACAAAAACCAAGACGACGAAGAAAGAAATGAGTAAAAGAGAAGTTTCGGAATAGGCAAAGACAGAGAGGCTGGGACTTGTTATGATACCCTTCTCCACAAAGCCCATCATATAAGGTTGTGTTTGCGGTCACATTAGAATCGGTTTCGGGTAAGACATTACGGCGAGCCTTAAACTTAAACCTTAAACTCATAGTCCGGACTCAGTTTCTTCCTGAATGTCTTACACGGGCACCTCAACTGTAGGTCAAATGCTTGGTAGGGTATCTAAGAGTCGCCTCGGGTGCAAACAAGAGCCACTCGCTGCACTTGTTGCTTACGAGTGAGCTAGCATTAGACCAAAGACCGAAGAGAGGGAGAGAGAGAGAGAGATGGAGAGCAGTTGCAGTCTGAGCTAACGATTTACTTTTTTTCTTTTCTGGCAAAATAACTTTGGCAATTGGCATTTCTGGCCAACAATTTGCGCAATCATTAGTTTCCTGTTGCCCCAATGGCCAGAGGCAGACAGCTATCAGATTTGCGAGCGGGAACAGTGCATAAAACAGAAAAACTTGCGCAATTCATAATTTAATAAGCAAGACCGAAAAAGCGCTGTAAAATCTGCTCGCTTTCTGGTTTATCAATCAGCAGGCAACAGTTCATTAATTGCATTGGTTTTCGTTGCTCTTGTTGCCTTTGCTGCTGCGCCTGTCACTAATTTATATTTAATCACCAGTTTTATTGTATTGTCTTTCAAAAGCGTAACGGCCACCAGTCGTGGTCCGGTCTTCGACTTCCACTTCCACCTCGGCTTCTGCCTCCACTTCGGCTTCTAATACGGCTTCGTTTGCGTTAAGTTTGATTTTGCGTTCGAGTCGGTTATTTTGAGTTTCTTCTTTTAATGACGGCTCCAGCGCTGCTCCATTGTCTTCTGACCCATTCTTACGGTCCATCTTAATTGGACCCAAAATCGTGAACCGTTATTCATTAATGAAAAACGTACGTCCAAGGGGATGGGCCCAGTTTCCCAGGTTTCTCAAGTGCACAACGAAAGGGAAAACTTTCATATCCATATAACAGTACTGACAGTACTTGTCTTCCCTTTCCATCCCATGACTTATTAAAAAGAGTGTCATAACAAAGTAGTAGATCAAGAAATTTTCTAGCGATTTTCGGTTTAATTTCTAAAAGGGCCAGTCCGGAACAGGAAATTTAACACTTTGGAGCAAAGTTTCCATTGACTCGGTGGTCAACAAGGTGACAATTCACGTGTACTGACCCCAGAGATCGCCAACGGGGATTTTTGGCTGTCGGAAATACCCAGTAAACCAGTTTAAAGTCAACTCTATCCCATGATGGGCTCTCCCAGACAGCTCTTAAGGCAAATCTGGGGCTCGCCAAACGTGGGAACCCTCCCATCGGACGCCCATATGGCCCATATTAAGAATGAAGATGTCCCAGTAGCAGAAAAACGGGAGACAGGGAGGATGGAGTAAGCAGTAAAAAACAATACACAAAACATAGCCGGAATAGCTCATTAAGACATGGTCACTCTAAAAGCCACCAAAGCTGGGAAGAAGGAAGAAAGACGAGAGTGAAAAAAGTCAACCAAGCATACGCTGCCTCCCATCCTCCCCATCACTAGTGAGTTTTTGACCAGGCGGAACCAGAGCTAACTGGGAGAGCGGAGGAGTAGAGAGATGATAAATCTGCTTGAGCAATTTGAGTTATTAGTGAAGTGTGGGACATAAAAGCAAACCGAGCCGTCCGATATGCCATATGGTACGAAGATCCGACTCGAATCGGATCGGACCCCAGCCCCGACCCGCGGAAAGTGCTTAGCTTCTGGCTTAATTACGAAATCTTGGCCTTTTGCACGTATGCATTATTTTAAAAGTTAATTGCAACAAAGAGTAATCATAAAGTGCGCTCCGCACAGAAACTAAAAACAGAGCAGAGAGCAGGGACGAACGACAGCGCCTGCGCGCCCCGATTAACCCATGAGCGTCATTTTGATGAACTTTGCCAGTAAGTCAGCGAGTCAGTCAGCCTGTGAGTCGGTAAGACGGACAGACAGTCAGCTGGTCTGGTCGCTGTCGGTCGTTCGGTTGGTTGGAGTATGTTTCTGTTTTCATTAAAAGTAAAACTTTTCACATTAAAAATGCTCATAAAATTGCACTGTAATTTTTCGTCGTCGTTTTCGCTTTATTTCCACTTTGTCGTGGAGTAAAATTAAATTTCAAATCGCCATGCGGGTTAATACTTTAATTTCAATTTGACCCTTTTGACGTCAATGGCATTGCAATAGCAGAAGCAGCTGTCTTAGAAGGTACTACCAGCACAAATGCAGGTGAACGTCAGCAACGCTGCACGCTGCACACTGCAATGCTGTAACTGTAGCTGTAGCTGAAAGCGCCATTCATAGAAGCAAGGAAACCAGAAAACCTGGACAGCTGATTGAATTGCATATTCAAGGTGCCAAAGTGTCAAGCGTTGGCAAGTTTCACGAATCGGCTGCGCACGGACTTTGGCTTTCTTTTTGAATTTTCGCTTTGCGCACTTCGTTTTAGGTTTTTTTTCTCGTTTTTTCTGGCTTTTGTTTAGTTTAGCTTCGATTTGTTGGGTTGGGAATGTTTTAGTACGGGCCAATTCGCTTTGTTTGACATTTCTTGAACGCACTAGTAATTAGTGTTTTTATATGGCCAGTGGCCGGGTATATGTTTAAAGTCCAAGTGCATTGTGCAATCATTCCCACTCTCGTTCTTCCACTCCATTCGCAGGCACAGCCAATGGCCGAGAAGCAGCAGTGAGATGCAGTCCCGCTAAGCCAGCACAGTAAGAGAGTGCTCGCAGTTCGCTGGAAACACGGAACGCCAAACAACAAAGTACCGAACGCTGGAATGTGGCCAAATCATCATTATAATCATCATCAGAAGCAGCAGCCGCATCAGCAGCAGCAGCATCAATAGTCCAATCGATCTCGGCAAAGTCAATTAAGCCATCATCAAGCATCATCCCCATAAGCATCAGCATCAAAATCAACTCCAGCTCCTGATCCAGATCCAGCTCCAGCGAGACAGAAATATAAGATGCAGGTGCCCGATCACGTTGTCTCTCTGTACATCGCCACCTGCGGCCAGAATGGACCCGGACTCGGATCGGACGAGAAGGAGATCATACTGCTCGTCTTCGTTCTGCTGGAGGTCGCCACGGGTCAGGTGAGTAATTTGAGCCTTGCCTAGGGGGGCCCCTCCATCAGGGGGTAGCGTCATTGGCCCTCTCTGATATTAGTAGTGAAGCTTCTCTGGCGCCGCATACTTACTGTCCACCATTTTGTTTGAGCTTTGATCAATTGCTCGAGAGCGGGCGCTGGATTTCGTCTACGCCTTAATTAATGAATGCTGTGCGATAACGGTCCCCCTCACACCACGCCACACACACACACACTGGCATGAGCATACTGCACTTTTAACTGTATGGATGGGCGTGGTGTCGAGTGGTATGGCTGGAGTCTGTGGCTGGCTGGTCGCTTATGTTACAGAAGCAACGAAAACAAACCTCTCGCCTTTGATTCGCCACCAGAGACCAAAGGGGAAGCACCACTCACATTAGTAGCCGAAGTCTGGGATACCCTTCATAACATTATTTTATATGTATAGGCAGAGGGTGGCATTATAGACATTATATATGGATATTTGCATATTTTGAGTTTGCCGAGCGTTTGACACTAATTGTTTGAAAACAAATCTCTAAACATCCAAGGGGCCTCCCTGTTGTCGGTGGCGAAGCAACCTTGTCGCAGACCAGAGCCACACGGCATTACGAAATCCCTCAACAAACTATCGCCAGAGTCCGTCTCGTCTCGACTCGAGAAGCAGCCATTAAAATCTGTTTGCTTTGGCTCCAAAGCTAAGTTTTCCAAGAAAGTACACAGAAAATCAAAAAATTAAAATGATGTAATGGGGTTGAGGCGGTGATTGAGTTGGAGAGGTCTCGAGAATGTCAGTGTCGTTGGTGACATCTCCCATCCAATCCATTTCAATCCAATCCAAAATAATCACTCTATTAGAAGCGTCTGCTTTTCCCTGCTAGAGTCTCCTCCCTCTCCGATGGGTTCAATGATATTTTCAAATTGCAATTCTATTTGCCCAATACTCGACGACAGTCTTGACTGCACACAAACTTGGATGTTGCTGGACAGAGTTACGTGGCGGCCACTCAATTGCTGGAGGAGGCTGCGTGTTCGGGCTCTAGATATAAGTACCTACCGATATAAGGTTGTTTTCTCGCGCTGCGTTCTCCAGCCGTTGAAGGAAATCGCTTGCCATTTTCTGTCATATGGGCTAGAAGGGTAACGGGAATGGGAATAGCAGCTCTTGAAGCTATTTACTAGCATTTACCCGATGTTTGCCTGCACACGAGGTTGACATTGCCTCGATTCTATTACTGCCCGGACGGAGCACGCAACCTTTTAGCAAGTGCAGCTTCTCCTCCAACTTCTACTCATCTTAAGTGGCATTTAATGGCGGCAGGGGCAGAGTCAGAGACAGTATCTGGGGCAGCGGCAGTGACATTGAGGGGGTCGCAATTATTTCAATCTCCAGCCAAGTCGGACCCAACCGAAAGCTCTGTGGCCTGTGTGCGGGGTGTCAGAGCATCTAGACCCCGTCTAGCTACCCGGCTTTTGTTGTTGCGCGTCTGCCAAAATATTATCTATATAAATTAATTGATGCGCTCTTGGGCTCAGACTCTAGCTCTTTGGTTTCCAGCGACTTTCGCAAAACGATTCGACATTGGGGCCAATTTGTATGCTAATCTCTGCGGTGAGTCCCCGAGATGGAAGGCATTCGAAGAGATGTTATTAGTGTTATTATTAATATTTCATTTTTCTTTTGCCAATATTCGGACAGGTCATGGGGTCAAGTTTCGCTCAAATTTCTCGCAAGTCCCCTAGCACCCACGGACACCCCTTTCACGCTTTAATGAGGTGCCTCAAGCCGAGACCCCAGATCATAACCGACCCCCGCCCGACCATTCTACTGTATAAAATTAATGGAAAATTTCTAAGCCACAGAATAATCGAATGGATGAACGGTAAAGCGAGTCTGGCAGAGAGTAGGTCTGGATCTGGTTCCGATCTGCACATATAGGAAGCAACTTGGGAGTGATAGCGGAATAAAGTGCTTCATGTGGCCAGGGCTTAGGCAGCCATCCGCAACGATTTCGTCATCGTCATAGTCATCGTGACGGGCATCGAGCAGGCGAACGGACTTGGCCAGACATGGACATAATTCAGATTCCAATTCTGATTCCGACAGCAAGTGGACTGCCCAATGAGGCGGACATGGCCTGGCTCGCTTTTTGTTATAATATCTGAACAATCCGATATAGATTGACGAAGAGGGTGGAGTCACCTTTCAAAATGGAGACTCGCTTTGAGTGCGATCTCCGGGGATTGCATTTCTCTCTTATAGATTTCTTGTTGGAGAGCAATTTTCTTGATTTGATACGTTGCACACGTGCAGCACACAGCCGCAGTAATTGGCACGTTAATTGCAGGCTAGTTATGACTCGTATGCCAACAATTAAAGGTAATTAACATTCGCAAACAAACTGCAAACAGTCGCCAGAGTATGGAGTGCAGTGAGCGCAGAATTTAAAATCTCTGCTCCACTCTGGGTCCACTCCGCCAACATTTGGAACTTCTGGCTCTGGCGCTATTATCTTTGGAAATATTAAATGCTCCGCTCTTGGGCTCGGGCTCTGGCTTTATGGTTCGACTCCGGTGGCAGCTTGTATGCTAATCTCAGCTGTGAGTCTCCGAGATGCAAGGCATTCCAAGAGCTGTTGGCTTTGGTGAGACGCCAGCCATAATTTCATTCATGGGCACAGATCACTCCGCACTGCTTATCCAGTGGGTTAATGGAAAGGTTTCCCTTTCCCATTCTCGATACTCCAATTCTTCGTTCTCTATTCTCCAACAGGCGTCCATCCATCGACATCGGGGACATCCAGACGGCATAATTAGGGGCGCGCTTAACCCCAAACCAAATGTGTTTCGTGGTGGAGTGTTTTGTGGTGCGGAGGGCTCTTCGATGAATTTAACATGAGGCTGTCTCTTTCACTTTTTCGCCGCACACCTCCACATATTTTCTTGTTCTCCTCTCCTGCCCCCCCCCCTCTTCTTCCCCCCCCCCCCCCCCCCCCCCCCCCCCTACCCCTCTACAAAGTATTGTTCAGGCATTCAATGGCTATGCAAATCGATGGCACGCAAATCGGAAAACAAAGAAAAGTAAACGTTTCGGTTTCCTTTTTCCCCATAGGCTATTTGCATAGGGCCCAGCTACCTGCAGGGTCTCCAGCTGGCTCCATTCTGATTCCGATTCCCATACCCATTCCGATGCCTATTTCTATTCCTATTCCGAATCCGATTCGTATCGTCTTCTTTGCATATCCGCTGACGCAAGCAACGATCTTGTTGATCCCTAGTGCAACAGAACAACAGAATAAAGGGCACTATTTGTTGCCAAGAAACATCCAGAAACTTGGTAGTGAGTCGCAGGTGCACCCCACTATCGGATTTTCGAGATAGGACCATTGTTGGGGCCCCTGTGACTGTGGCTGAGAGCTGGTAGTGCCACCTGATAAGAGTGGGGTAACAGCAGTCATGCTTACACATAAATTACTTTGATGAGGGAACCACTCAAAGAAAGTACTCCCCACTAATGCAGCTCCCCTCCCATCTCTCCCATCCGCAGATCATCGGCACCAAACAAATACTCGTCCGGCCCGATGGCTACTTCATCAAGGACCGCACCACTTCGAGCTCCTCGGACAACTCGAACGTTACCAGCAATACGGCCTGCTCACCGCCGCTGTCCATCGGCATTGGCGCCATCGATGGCAGTATCAATACCAATGCCAACAGCAGTGCCTCGAGCAGCATCGGCAGTGGAACGGGGAACGGAAACAGCTCCGCAAACGGCATCCTGGAGAACAGCAGCGAGCTGATTCTGCCAATAGCCGAGGCACAGGCAACAGGCAAGCCGCTCAACGAGGCCATCGAAGAGGTACGTAGATACAGGCACCTGATCCTTCGCCTGATTAGCGGAAGAAGAGAGAAGGGGAAAGAGAGGCAGAGCACGTTTTGCGGGTTGTTTGGGTTGTGTTTGGATTTGGTGTTATCAGGTGGAACCGGCACCAAAATCCGATAAGATTAGGCCTGCACCACACCGGACCGCTCGAGATGCAGAGGAGTGGGGGAAAGAGAGCGAAAGAGCATCGGAGAGAGAAGGAGAGGGATATTTATGAAAGCCACCCTCGAAGTGACTCTGAACCCAACTCTCAAGTATTAATGGGGCATCGAGTTGCGCTCTTGTCAAAGATGAATGACATTAATGGTGTTGCGTGGTATACATATATATATATATATATACATATGTATGTATAAGGCACCGATGTGTCTGATAAGCACCGATTCGAATTCGGATTCGGATTCCGATTCCATAGAGAGAGTCACGATGAGTGGACGTAACGCATTTATTGCTCCGTCATGGGGGATTGCTTTTACTCTTCGATTCCACGTACCGTTTGGGGGCTAGGATAGGTCACAACACCCACCCTGGGTATCACCTTATCCAATCCGCTGATAAGTCGGAGGAGCAACTACTGGGGCAAGCCCCCATCCAGAGACAGACGTCTGCCGGCTGGTGGGTAGACTGTCCGGAATTGTCGCTCTGTAAACTCACATATTTACATTATTGTTCGACGACAGAGATAAAAGATCTCGATACGGACGCGACAGCGACAGCGACAGCGAGAGGCACAGCATTTCGAAACGTTGTCCAGAGCTGATTCATTGCTGGTTCTATTTGCATTTCCTCGGATTACAACTGATTACAGCGAGTCATCGTGACATTTCTTAAATCCAGAATAGGATGCACTCCGATTGGTTGCAGAATGTCTCTTGCAGGGATGTTCAGTTCAGATCTGTTCAGATTTAGTCGCTATGATGGGAGAATCGGACTCTGATCCATGGAGATGTATGGGATTACTTGTAATCCATTTTATGTGGAGACTTGGAATCACTCCCCTTGGCCATGGCATATTCCCATCGGTAGTGCATCCGTGATCGTCTCGTGACGCAATTTACTGAGATTGGAATACTAATTGGCTGCGTCAATAGGGCCAATAAAAGTCGCCTCTCTTTCTCTCTCCCGTTCTCTCTGTCGCAGGTAGTTGCAGATGGAGGGGATGTGAGAGATTCACCTGCGGATGCTGATGCGAATGAACCCCTGTAATCCAAGGTGTAAGCTATCAGTGGATTTAGTGATTGGAGCGCACTGATCTGGCTTGCGATTCCTTGGGGCCTGCCCTGGATCGTAATGCGACATTAAGCCGTGTTATATTTACTCACGATGACATGGCTGAAAGCTGCTGGTTGCTGTCGCTGCTTCTCGTTTAATTGACAATAATTGCCAGCAAGTATGGCGGCAACAGCGGCAGCGGCAGCAGAGCCGACTAAACGGGTTTAGGCAAATGGCATTGGGGCGTAGTCGCAGCCTAGAATTGTGGCACCAACTATGACCCGAGACACCTTTCGATGGTTGGAATGTGGGGCCATTTCCCTTGCCACTGTACCTTGCACCTACTGACATTCTCTCTCTGAATCTTCCTTCCTCTCTCACAGTTTGATGCCTACCTACGCTCTCTGTCGCTGCACGACACGGAGATCCAGCTGATTACAGATGGCCAGCTGCCCCTGCGGCAGTGCCTGCACCGCGAGGCCTGCGCCAAGGACGTGGAACTTCCCGCTTACTATAATCGGTTCAGCGACCTGCGCAAAGAGTTCCTGCGCTACAAGTCCGGGGATCTGTCGCGCGCCCTGGTCCCCGTCAAGGATGTCAAAAAGATGCTGCAATCGCCCACGCTGCCCGTGCCCCAGTCCATCGGAGAGATGTTGAACGGTGAGTGCCAACTGCTCGATCGATTTCAATCTTCCTTTAATGAACTATCATTTCCCTCACCCACTACTCAAAACAGAGCTCAATACGGCATCGGTGGAGGACAACGATTTTTACATACGCGAATCTCGCGACATGGTCACTGTGATCCAGACCCTCCTCCAGGCAGGTGAGTACACGATTCTTAGCGGTTCATGTGCTGAGTTCTCTAAATGGATTCTCCTTCTCTGTTTTCAGGCCACAAATTCGCCTCAAACGAGCTGGTCACCCTGATTCTGGAGCCTGGAATTTGGTGAGTAGCTCCCTCCTCACTCCAAAAGCCACTCGTGCAGCCGCGTGCAGCTGATCCAATTCTTCTCGATTTCTGGCACTCACTTCTTCGAGCGTAGCCCGTCAGCCAGTCGGCCCAAGAAAATACTCACTCAAAGCCGAGAACCGAACCCATAAAAATCGACTCAGACAGACCCCAAACACTGGAAGGCGACACGAAGCCGCGGCCGCTGGAACGTGGCCGTCGTTGTCGTTGTCGTTGTCGCCTTCGACATCGTCTTCGTAGCTGCCTCGTCAGTTACCGTTTGGATTGGGAAGCGATAAGAGCTCGGGCTCGTCTTGAAGAGTATCGGTCGAGTACGTACTGCCACTGCCAGCCAGCTGTAAGGCGATCACCGGGTCAGATCGGATCGGACCGCGTCGTAACTGTGGATCAGAGCAGCCTCCAGTTGGGGCTTGTATTGTGTGTGTTTAGCGTGGAATGAATGCACGGCTTTTGTTATCGCTATCGCCTTGGAATATTCCAGTTACGTAGAAGGAAACGCCTCGTCCACTCTCCGCCCACACAGCTAGAGCCCACCGGCGGGACCCGTGTCTGTTTTGGGCTACGCTCGTAAAAATATTCAATTAGTGGAAAGGTAATCCGCACCAGAAAACCCACTCCCCCGGCAACTGTGGAGTGGCAATTAGTTGGAACTCCTGGCAGAAATCTGATTTGGTTATTCGTCTGTCTACCCCATTCTCCATTCTCCATTCTCCACTCCGCATTATTCATGTTTTATTTGTTTTCTGTTTCGGTTTCTGGTTGCTTTTGCTGCTTGGCCTCTTTTCTGGATCACATTCTGTGTGTGTGTTCCCTATCTCTGTGTGTGTGTGTGTGTGTGTGTCTCAATCTTTACTTGCAGTGTGTGCGTTTGTGTGTTTTGGGAGAGTCAGCAAAAATGTTTATACTCGTATGTTGTATGACTTGGCCTGGTAATCGTTAAGAACTTGTGGTGCGCATCGAAACGTCGGCCAAGTCACGTTTTTCGATCGAGAAGTAACGACAGCCCAGCCCAGCGCCACATGTTGCATAACGAGTCCTCTCCCCCGATGCAATTTCAATTCTAATTCGAGCTTCATCCAATTGCAGCTCAATCGACGACGAGGTCGACGGCAACTGCATCGTGCGCGCCCGAGGACTCCCCTGGCAGAGCAGCGACCAGGACATTGCCAAGTTCTTCCGCGGCCTCAACGTAGCCAAGTGAGTAGCGAAGCGGCCAAGCCAACCCCCAACCCATTGATAAGCCTGGACCCCGATAGACACGGGTTCACCGGGTCAGCTCAGATTACAAGCGATCGTCTCTAATCGCGCTCTCCCCTCTTTTTCCTTCTCCACCCACCAGGGGCGGCGTCGCTCTTTGTTTGTCCCCTCTGGGCAGACGTAACGGCGAGGCCCTGATCCGCTTCGTCTCCCAGGAGCATCGCGACATGGCGCTGAAGCGGCACAAGCACCACATCGGGGCCAGGTACATCGAGGTGTACCGAGCCTCGGGAGAGGACTTTCTGGCCATTGCCGGTGGCGCATCCAACGAGGCGCAGGCCTTCCTTTCCAAGGGGGCCCAGGTGATCATCCGAATGCGGGGACTGCCCTACGACTGCACGGCCAAGCAAGTGGTAAGCATTACAAAGAGGTCTCATCCGCCTACAGGAAGACGAAACTAATCTCTTCGTTCACGTGTGATCCACAGCTGGACTTCTTTACGACTGGAGAGGCGCCCTGCCACGTGCTGGATGCGAATGAGGGGGTTCTGTTTGTGAAAAAGCCGGACGGAAGGGCCACAGGAGACGCCTTCGTGCTGTTCGCCAACGAGGGGGATGCCCCGAAGGCGCTGGGGCGGCACCGCGAGTCCATTGGGCAGCGATACATAGAGCTCTTTCGCTCGACCACCGCCGAGGTGCAGCAGGTCCTCAACCGCTCCATGGACCCCAAGACATTCGAGAGCAGCAGCCACAGCCAGCCGCCGTTGATCGCCCAGCTGCCCACCATGCAGCTGCCCCTACTGCCCCAGGTGGGTGTCGTCACCCATGGCCACGCCCATGCCCCGGTCCCAGTCCCGGTCCCAGCTAACCTGTGCCCACATCCCCATCCCCCACAGCACCTTATCACCTCGGGAACGACAAAGAACTGCATCAGGCTGCGCGGCCTACCCTACGAGGCCATGGTGGAGCACATCCTCCACTTCTTGGACGACTTTGCCAAGCACATCATCTACCAGGGTGTGCACATGGTGATCAATGCGCAGGTGAGTCGAGGGTTAAGTCTCAGTTCTGGACACTTTTTCTCATCCTTTCGCCATTTCAGGGCCAGCCCAGCGGCGAGGCCTTCATCCAGATGGACTCGGAGGACTCCGCGCGGCTGTGCGCCCAGCGCAAGCACAATCAGTTCATGGTCTTCGGCAAGAAATTCCGTTACATCGAGGTGTTCCAGTGCTCCGGCGACGACATGAACATGGTCCTCAACGGCGGCTTGGCCTCGCCCGTCGCCCAGGCGCCGGCCCACCACGGGCACGCCCACAAGCAGCCCTCGCTGCTATCCACGGGTATGTTAGCTCAGTCGCCGCCGACCCCAGCCGGCGCCCAGTCGGCACTCTCCGGCTCCCACTCACACACACACTCGCACGCACACTCGCATTCGCACGCTCAGGGCCACGCCCCCGCTCACCATGGCCTGCCCACCACCCCAGCCCTCCTGACGCCACTGAGCTCCACCTCAGCAGCTGCTGCGTCCGCCAGCGGACTGGCCTCTTTCATGGCCTCCCAGCCGTCGGCCGCAGCCGCCGCTGCCGCCCACTCTTCGCTGCAGAACGCAGCCGTGGCCTTGGGTTCCCTCTCGGGCCAGGCTCCACCCGGCTACCCACTTAATTTCTCGCTGCCGCCGCCCTCCTCCCAGGCGGCCGCCAGCCCCGCCCTTCTAGCCCAGCAACAGGCGCAGTTCATAGCCCAGCAGAGCCTTTTGGTGCGCCAGCAGGCCGCCGCAGCTCTTGCAGCCGAACAGCAGCAGCAACAGCAGCAGCAGCTGTATGCTAACGCTATGCTTCAATCGCACCCCCTTTACCTGCAGCAGCACCAGCAGCAGCAGCAGCAGCAGCTCTACGCCAACGCTATGCTGCAATCCGGCCAGCCCCAGTTCGTTCTCATGCAGCGGCCCTACATGCCACACTTTCCCCTTGGCTACATGCAGGCCGGAGCGGCCGGGAATGCATCCACCTCAGCCCTGGCTCTCGCACAGGCACAGGCACAGGCCCAGGCCCAGGCTCAAGCGCAGGCGCAGCCGGCGTCGATAAAGCGGTCGTACGAAAACGCCTTCCAGCAGGACGCAGCCGGAGCGGCGGCAGCAGCCAGCGCGGCCAAGCGGGCACTCACCCGCACGCCCAGTAGTGTCTACTCGTATTACAATCCTGGCATTTGAGCCTGGATTCAAGTCTCCGCTTACAAGTCGATTGAGAGACATCTCCAGCACTTCGTGCACATTCCGCTCCGATCCAATCCGTTTTGCAATGCATAGTGAGTGGCGGCGGAGTGCTTTATAAACATAAACAAACATAGACATAAACACACATCTATCCACGATCCACGATCCACGCATATCATGTTCCATCATGGCAACCCACAGCGACACACTCATGCATACCAGACATAATTTAGAGCTTAATTTTATAGCGAATCGATTTCGCTCCAGGATTGGAACGGAATGGAACGGGAGTAGCCCTAAGTACTTAAGTACTCTTCTTGTATGGAGTACTCGTAGCAGCCTAAGCATTCCTGTCTTTGGTCTAAGCATATACATATACATATACATATACATAATATCGATAGCAGACACGCGCACACACACACATACATATGTACACATAATGTTGCACTGTTACTCACTCACACGCATTTGAACACCCGCTAACAGAGGATCCAAAAGATCCCAAAATTATTTGCTCACTTTTGTTCCGCATTCGGACGCTTGGTGTCTGTGTGTGTTTGCGTGTGTGTGTGTGGCGTGTGTGTGTTCGACATTGTGGGATCTGGGACGAAGAGATCCTTTCCCCCTATCCGATTCGAAGGCAATCAACAGAGGCTAATGTCATTCGTGGAGGAAGTGCGGCATGGCCTGGGCCTTGCCCACGCCCAAGCCATCGCCCAATCAGTGCAATCTAATTTTAATGTCTACTTCAGTCCACACTCGCACTCATTCCACGAACGGCGTCAGGTGTTGGCTCATGCGCTCAAAGTTAAGGAAATTTAGAAAGAAATTCTGTAAGACAATATATTTGGAATGTCCATAATACACGATACACGCCTAGACATAAGATCGTACCACTTGTAATATTGGTTGGCATTAATTTTAATCAGTCCGAAATCCTTTCCTGTGTCTTTCGTTATCTGATCCGAGGCAGACCTTTTTTGTCTCTCTCAACGAAAAGCTAACCCCAGATCAAACCCCAATCCAATCCACCCACTGACGTGCGTTCAATAGTCGTTTAATATTCTCATTGTGTTTTTGAATTTGATATCGTGTGTACACACATTGTATATTTAGCATAATCTAGATCTAGATGGTGTAGCTCTTAAGTGTGCGTAACTGGTGTTAGTCGCAAACGGGAAATATTTATATCACTGTCAATATATTTTTCTGTGTGTTCTCCCCCTCTCCCACTTCCTGTCTCTTCCTCTCTCTCACTGTCATTACTAATTTAGTTATTAGTCCATGGAGGGATCTACATTCATACATACATATGTAGTCCTAGACCTAAGACCTGCTTATCGTACGTTCGGGCGCTTTAGTGTCTAGTGTGTCTGGTCTATGTACATGATAACGGTAACTGGTGTCTTGGGCTTTCAACCAAATACACAAACACCCGTGCTTATACTTATGAGTATAAGTACAAGGCGATCGAAGAACGCAGAATGTGGAAATCCTTATCCATTTCAGCGCTCCCTCCTTTTTACTCCCTCTTCCATACTATCTCTCACACTATCCTGGTACTGCTCCTGCTGCGTCTAACATTCAGTTTCGTATTGCTAAGAGGGGCATAACGAAAGAAAGGCACGGGAAAGACTTGCCTAGCTTTTAATCCTTAGCCTAATTTAACCTTTAGCCTTTAGTAGTTTTTATGCGAGTGCGAGTACGTGGCAATCGTGGGGTTTGGGTTGGCAGATCCTCCTCCAGCGGCCACTTTAAAGATCTAAACCAGATAAAAATCCAATTATCTACTTAACTAGTTCGTACGCACAGCAACGTTTTTATTGTGTAACACATTTTAAGATTTTGATATTCCAACTTTTTACCATTAGCTCTTAGTGATGATCAATCTTTGATTATTTTTTTTATTTTACATCAATAAAATATCAACATACCGCCTAAAAACTATCAACGCTCGCTCTCTCTCTCTACTACACACTTTCTTTCACCCGGCCCCTCTATCCCTTTCCCTCGTTCGTTGATTAAGTGTAGAGGATCGACCCCCCCCCCACACTAATACCTACAGAAATCCGCCTTTCCACACAAGAATTACCTACTAATCAAAGTGAATTTTTTTTCTACGGGATACATTAGATAACTTTTATTACCTGTAGCCGTACTATTCCCTATATCCCACCCACTATATCCCTCCCCCACTCATATATGTACATGTAACTGGGGTATCGGGCTTGGGCTTAGCTTTAGACTCGATCGCGTTTTCAGCGTTGCTGCTCCGCCCCGGAGCGGTTGGAGTTGGAACGACGGAGATGGAAGCGGCATTGGAAGTTTGTTTTGGGCTCTGTTTCCGTTTCCGTTTCCGTTTCGGTTTCTGTTTTGGTAATACTCTCGTAACCCTAAGTGGAATGTCCATCATGAACGTACCTAGTCATAGACGCATCTTGTATGTAACTCTGTCCTCTGCCAGGCTGGCAGTTCTTCGGGTGCATAATCAAATTTTATTTCTAAAGGTTGGTGCTTGGATTAAACAAAACAAATCGAAACAAAGAAACTCAAAATTCAAAACAACAAACTCAAAAAATCGGCAAATGTCTAAACTTACTCGTATGTGCGCAAATGTTTCATGGTCTCTGGGTGAGGTGGTAAGAATACCGATACAAATACAATACCAAATATATATGTATGTCTCTCCTACCATTTGCAATGTCTAAACGGTGAGTGTTTTGAATCCAATTTTACCTCTACTAATCCCAACATAATTACTTGTACTAAGATGAGGTCACACACTAACCCAACCAAACAGCAAACAGCCACAAATACTGCATACTGAAACGCAACGACAGCCACAACTACAACTGCTAAAAGAACTGTGGGACAGCTGCTAACAAAAACAAGAACAACTGCAACAAATAGGAATATCTTCTGATGATAGATACCATCGTATTATCAGTAAATCTGTAGCCAAATCGGAATACACACACATATCTTGTATATGTATAGTCGTTCTTCCTTCCCCCACTCAACCAAGCCATACTCACAACACTTACTCCCCCCTCTTCCCGAATTGTATGCCCCATTATGCCTAAGACAGATATCCCCTCTAGTCGTGCTAAAATTCCTTCGAATAACCATCACTCTCGTCTCTATCCAGGTGCCACTGTGCTGGGAGCCCACTTTGGAACGCCCTTCCAGGCCTACGCGGCCGCGCCGCCGCCGCCTCACACCCCGCTTCTGGCCACGCCGCGCTCCCACCATGGCCACCACCATCACCATCATGCGTCCGCCTTCTACCCGCCGCCGCTCGTCTACTGGCCCTACCCGAGTCCGCCCGTCTCGCCAACCACCTACTACAGCCAACCAGGGGCGCACTCGCCCTCGCAGCCGCTGGTTAGTATAGTCCACACACGATCCCGCATCCAAATTTCAATACAAATATGGATTCGTTTTCAGTATCCGCTGGACTTCTTCCCCACATCACCGCTATCACCGCCAAGCGTGGCCATTCCGCATACCAGCACCGGCCTGATACTCACGACCACCAAGGCCGCCGTGTCCTTTGTACCACCAAAGCAGTTCTCTCCAACGACCACGGCCAGTGGCAGCAAGCTGCCCATTCCGATGCTGGGCTACGCTAGTCCGAGTCCCAACCAGCTCAGTTCCTCGCCAGGGACTCCGACCGCCTTCAACGGAACTGGAGCGGTGTCAGCGCCTACGGGCTCACCAACGGCTTCCGTTACAGGATCCACCTTGACGGCGTCGTCAACGCTGCTTAGCATTGACACAAACCATGCCACGTCTACGCCCACACCAACACCAGCGCCCTCGCTGAAGACCAGCAGCCAGGGGGCGTCGGGAGCTGCTGCCACGACACTTGTTAGCAACTCCTGCGTGGAGCTTTTCATTTCGTAGGCTCTCTATGGCTCACGCGCATACATTTTTAGCAAAGCTTTTCTCTTGCCAATCGAAGAAACTTGTCTGTAGTCTAGTTTAGAACCAAACCCGCTTTAGCCGAGTCTAGTGGCGACAGTGGTGAATGTGGCAATAGAACGGCGAAACTCTCGAAGTTCGAAAGTCGAGCATTCCGTCTCATGAATTTCTATACATTACCTTATCAGCTAGTGCTAAGTAGGTAGAATGCCCAGTGCAATCCAATCAAGATTTTATTTATTCAAGCTGCTGCACTATATCCAAATATACAATTATTATAGCAAATTAGAAAAAGAAACCAGCGAATACAGAAGAGCACAAGCAGATGACAGAAATCTGATCGCAAAGCAAATACGACAAATTTATCCCTAGTCAATAGTCAAATTATTTATACAATTATCTATTTTTAGCTGCATGTTAATGTTATTGAAATTGTACGCCAAGCTCAGATCCTGAGGCGATTTTCAAGTTTAATCCCTAGGCTAGACCATCAAATATCTTGTTATTATTCTGCACGTAGTACCCAGAACGTACCCAAAAACGACCGTTTCAGATCTGATTTGTTTGTTACTCCATTCGCAATAAAAAGATATTATCAATTCTTTAAATAAATATACAAATAAATATCTATGTAAAATGCGCGACTATAAATTGGGCCAAAATGAGGCCACAAATATTGCGAAATTATTGGGACTCCGTCCAAAAGTTTTCACTTATTTCTCTCTTTCTCCTCTGTCTCTGTGAGCTGGGCGTGCCGCAACTCTAAGCCTTTTTTGCCAATTTCTGGGACTGTTCTATCCCTCGGTTCTGCCGTCTTCATACACCGTTCAACACTCCCGTATTTGAAAAGATCAACACAAAAGGATTCTGTTTTAAAATCTAAAATCATTTATTTCACTGCAATTATGAAATTGTGAATCAATTAATTATACTATCGGTAGACATTATAAGTAGCACATGCGGGGGGACAACATACGATGAGGTGGGATCATAAATAATCCGAATACGAGCACTGGGGCCCGACGATGATGATAAATCGCTGACAAATGGCGTTACAAACGGACGAAAGTCCCACCGACCAGTTTAAGGGACACGGTCGTTGTGAACCATCGTCCGGTCGCACCGTACCATTACCGTTGCACATTTAAAATAGATTAAAAGTCGTCGCAGGTGGGACTGCTGGACTGCTGGACTGCTGGACTGTTGGACTGTTGGACTCCTGGGCGGCAGGACGGAAGGAAGGTATGAAGAGGGTTAGTTCTATGCTGCATCATTTGCTGCAGCTGCCATCTGCATCCTTCTGCTGCTCACATGATAATTTATCAATGGCTGGCGCAGTGGACATCCGTTGAACCTGCTCCTGGCCGGGGACGATCCGGATCCTTTCAAAAGGACATTAGGCGTGCCTCTGTTGACAAGTCAGCCTGCGAACAAGAGAAGTAAATGAAAAACTGTTGGTTAATGCGCTGAGGGGCGAAAAATGAGAGAACGAGTCGTAGTCCCTCGGGCAGGCATTTTTATGGCCGCACACTTGACTAGGCAGTGCACAGAACTTCCTCTAATGGCACGGAAATGGCCATATAAATCTCACTTGTAATCGCAAAGCCGAAAAAACTACCGCTAGACAACGCCCCAAGTAAGCAGCCCAATAATAGAGACGCCGCGCATAGTTGGCTGGCTGTAAGAGTTGTGAAACTTTTTGGCGCTGCCACTCGAAACTAAGTCAATAAAAATATTCTCTCGCTCCCATCCCATCCCAAGCCATCCTCAGCCAATGCAACGGGAATGCAATAAAGGGGTGGAGCATTGGCGTCGGCATATTTTCGGCAGCCGAGTTAGCAGCGACTGCTGTCGCCGCCACATCCAGGAAGTTGGGCGATGGACCTCTTCCGCTTTCGTATTAAGCCATCGAAACTTTTATTGATTTAGGGGATTTCGTTGCTTTCCAGCGCAAGCATTTCAGCTGACAGCGCCAGCTCCGAAACAAATTCTACTTTGCATGGCGAGTGCCCGACTGTGAGTGAAAATTGAAGCCCTTATCCGTGGTGTCCTCGAGAGATCCACTGAAACTGCCTTAAATCCATGCCCGACTCCAGCTACAAACTAAACAAACAGAGAACTCAACACCTGTACGGCAATTTTTTGACCAAATATTTACCGAGACATCCCGCTGCTCCCCGTAGCCAATTGTTGGTCCTGTCCGTACCCAGTGCCTGTTCCTGTGTCTATCCCTGGTCCTCACTCCGTCTCGCTTGTTGTCCTGCTGCTACAAAAAATCAATTTCAAGCACATTACCAGCCTGCCAACTTGATTTTATTATTTACTCGTATTTGCTGTTTGACAAATTCGCTTGGCTGCCCTCAAAATTTCAAGCGCACTCAGTCACATTCGCTTACAGGGATTGGAGTCGGGCTAGAGATAGGCATTGGGCAAAGATTGGGACAAGGACTAGGACTGGGTCTGGGTCTGGGGCAGGGGCAGGGGAGGAGATCTAAAATTGCCCAAGGGGGCCACAAGTAAAATGACTGCAGTGCGCCGTTTGCAAAGCAAAGGGTGAGGCGGACGGAGGAGGTAAGTCGAAATAATAAGAAAGAACAAGCCGGGAGGAAAAAGTCTGAAATCCATGTATGTTTGCTCACAAATCTTGGGCAAATAAACCAGGAGGAGGTCGCTCTTTTGGGGCGGGGGAGCAGACAAGAGGGGGGCAAGATTTTACGTTTTCATTAGAGACTGTCTCGGAATCCTTTCCCCGAGATCCCAGTTTACTGCAACTTTATCTTATTTTACAAACTACTTTAGGCAATTGATTGTGCGCGAGTCTTTCGGTGTATGTGTATCTGTGTGTGCAGATGTGCATGGGTGTGTGTGCTGCGAGTGCTAAAAGGTGGCGGCAACTGAGCCAGCGCTTTTTGATGTCTGCCCCAGTGTGGCCCGTGTGCTCCATGCTCCCCGTACTTCCCGTGCTCTCCGTGTTGTGTGTGTTTTTTTTCTTTTCCACTTTCCACTTTCCACTTTCCACTTTCCTCTTTGCTCTTACACGATTTCATTTACTTTGTATAGCACAAAGCCTAAGCACTCTGTACGGGTGTGCAAGTGTATGAGTAAGAATTCCGAGCAGTATGCAGTGTGTGTGTGTGTGTGTGTCTCGGAGGCAATGAAGTGCATTTGAAGCGCACTTGATGCACGTACAGCACGCAGCGCCTTTTTAGACGTATTGTAAATGACTGCAGTGGGCGGGGAGCGGGCGTGAGAGGACAGCGCGGTTCGTTAGTTTGACACACACCCACACACCCACACACCCACATCCGCACGGACAGACAGTCCCGTACGACCGACAGATATACAGATATAGCATCGGGGCAGACAGGAAGTGTGTGGGCTGTGCATGTGGGGGCGTCTGTTTGATAAGTGGCAGCAATTTTTTTTGCCCCCCTCAGCTTTTTTCTATTTTCTCTCTCCCACTTCTGATGGTGGTGGTGGTGCTGCTGTTGCTGTTGCTGTTGCTTTCCACTCTCCATGGCTGTTCGTCCGCTTGCTGACACCACCACTGACACCATCTTCTCCATCCACCCTTGTTCACACACTCCTGCAACCGGGGCCACTAATGAAATTGTTAATTTTTGTCGGCAAAGTCACGTACACGATGTGTTGATGACGCTGAAGAGCCGTCGACGCTGGTGCCGCTGGCAACTGGCATAGGCCACCGTCCAAGGAAGAAGATCTCGCCAGGAGCTGGGGTCTGCTGCTTGCCAGGGATCGGCGTCTACCACTCATAAGTTAAATGGCCCTTGTAGTTTTTACGGCCTGTTCTTGGCTTCGGTTGTGCTGCTCCTTCTGCCGCTCCTTCTGCCGCTCCTTCTGCACCGC